GGCCGGGCTAGGTAGGTAGGGGGAGGCGAGAGGCTAGGGAGCGGGCGGAAGTGGGTGGGTGGACCTAACCTACTCGATACCATGTTAGAATACGTGAATGGATAACTAGAAGAGAAACAGGAACATATAGCAGTTGGGTTGTACTCACTATGAGCACACACCGATACTAGCCTATAACTTCTACACTCATGACATGTATAAGTTGACACAGGGAACCAAACTTCACGAACTATCAAATTGAACCGAACAGGAATTCGCGTTTTGACCCTCCGACCTCAGTGTTTTGCGTTTCAGACTCCATTTCGGATTTGCTGGTACTGAACACTGTCTTGTAGGAATACGCCCTTATTTCCTGGACCCTTCCCAGTCGCGACCTGAGTTCCCGTTGTGAGTGATTTGTGCGGCACTCGTGATTTCGTCAATTTAGTGAGTTGTATGGTAACTTTAGGGGCAGCCCAGAGGCTTGGTTAAAAAAGTGTGCTATGCGCTGACTACCAAAACGTGAACATTGTTTGGGGTGCCTAAACAATTCATAGTTGCCCGATATGCAAGTTAAAGTGTCCCAAACACAATCCTTTTCGGAGTTAGGGCTGATGCCACCCCGAGTGATCGTGCCCCTCTGGTTTTTTTTTTTTTTTTTTTTTTTTTTTTTGTTCTTTCATTTCTTTAACTAATGTAGTGGCGGATACGACACTACTGACACGAAATAAACATTCACGATGGCAGGTTTTGTAACAGTGCGCATGACTTCTCGAGTGAGTGGGCAGCCATAAAAACGCGTAAACCATCAGTAGAAGAAACTGACGGCGGGAATCCCTGTCGTGCGCGGGCAGGGGCCAGGTAAAAACTAGTGAAAACAGAAATTCAAGCCGCCGATATTTCGTAGGCGCGACATTCCCTCGCCGAAGTGGGTAGGGGGGAAGAGAAGGTGTGACATGTCACGTCCAGGGCATTCTTTTCGTTTCGGGCTACCCTGTAATTCCAAGGTAGTTATTCCCCCAAGTCCGACTGGAACACACTTGGCACTGGGGGACTTAGCCGAATCCTCCGGATTGTGTTGCGAGGTGTATGGGAGGACTGCCTCTGTTAGTGGGGGACTTAGCCGAATCCTCTGGGTTGCGAGGGTACTACAGGAGCTCTGTCTCTGCTAGTGGGGGAACTTCACCAATTTTTCGGGGTTGCTCGAGGGCTGTGGGAGGAATGTCTTTGGCAGTGGGGGACTTAGCTAAAATTTTGGGTTGCGAAGGGTAAGGAGAATGACTCTCCGGATTGGGGGGGACTAACCGGAATTTGTAGTTCCAAGGAGAAATTATTATGGCGGGGGATCGCATGTGTGATTTGTAAGGGTGGATTTAACACAACACTTTCCGTATCAGGGTCCCTACACTCGACCACTCTGAAAAAACACGGTCCCGTATAGATCTAGTTTTTCATAAGGTAAAAAACTAAACCACTTCTAAAAAATAAGGGTCCAACACCTACCCTAGCCTTATTATAAAGGGTCGTAAGGGTATTTACCCTGATATCATGAGGCCCGTACATTGTATAATGGGGTTGCTGTGTAGTTGTGCCATGAAATTCAAATCGCGGTCCCCAAATGGTCTCCTGACGAGGCGCATGCCTGTCCTGCCTGCTGTTACATGCCTAGATCTGGGCGCTTCGCGCCAATTTACAAACCACATTCGCGGCTCTGCTGAGGCAAGACCGTGTGCTCTAGGCTAGCTATATCCATACTCCCTGCTGTTTGATGTTGCCTCGGTTGTATTGTTTCCTCGTTGATCAACCTTCGACACCACGCTCTTTGCACTTCATTACACCTGACCATCAAAGCCAACGATCCTCATCCTTGCGCTCTTCTTCTGCTGCAACACCGACAGTTAGGCAGGCTGACTGTCAACATATATATGTATATGTATGCTAGGCAGGTGCATTACTCTGACGGATTCCTATTGTAGAGTGTACAACCCACTTTTTGTACTTCTCTCTCTTCACTAGTCGACCCTCTTTTCTCTCACTACTTTCTCCTACCTAGCTAAACCCCTCTCCTAACATGGTTTCAGAGCAGGCTGATCCTGCTGAGCCTTCTCCTCACGCTTCCGCTGCATACTTTCTCCCCTCCTCTCACTTTCGCGCTGCCGTGGCAGCCTCGTCGGGCTGCAATGGCGGCCTCATCTCACTGCTGTGGTGGCGTCGTGCTGCCGTGTGGCTTCGACGGGCCAGCACACGGACGCCTGCGGCCAGCGCGCTGGTTTAGCGCCGGCCAGCACGCCAGCCAGCTCGCCAGCCAGGGTAGCTCGCTAGCTGGCGTCGCCGCCGAAGACCTGCCCCCCTCCCCTCCTCTACGTTCCCCCCCTCCTCCCGCCGCAGCTGCTGGCGGTCTCGTACATGTCCTCCCCGGTCATCGTAGAGCATGCCACGCCGCCGGGTGCCTCAGCACCACCGCCACCGCAGTCGTCGATGCCGCCGCCGCCACTGCTCCTGCCGCGGATGTTGACGCCTCGCATGCCGCGGAGTCAACCCGCTGTAGAATCCCACAGTTGTTGCTGGGTATGGGGGTGTTCGGGCTTGGGGGTATTGGGTGTGTGGTGTGCTCAGACTTGTCTTACTTCTCAAACCAGTGGACAGACTAATCGTGCTGCCCTGGTATATTGCCTCTGTGAGTAGCACCTACCAAGCCTAGGGGTGTGTCAACATATATATGTATATGTAGGCTAGGCAGGTGCATTACTCTGACTGAGTCCTACTGTAGAGAGTATAACCCACTTCTTGTACTTCTCCCTCTTCACTAGTCGACCCTCTTTTCGCTCGCTACTTTCTCCTACCTAGCTAAAAACCTCTCCTAACACTGACGCCCTCCGCTTACTGCATATCCGATATCCTGGTAATATAAATTGAAAATTACCTACAGCCACGACTATGTTCGCAATGCCAGCGTGCCGAAAGCCGCCCAAAACTTTCCGCGAAATGGTGGATCCGTCGGCGTCTACCACCATGACTCCTGAAGAAAATGTGGCAGCACTTGAAGAAGTTCGTCTTACTCACGAGTTGTATATGCAGGAGTTGGCGCGTCTGCGAGCGGAAACGATCCAAACTGAATATGAGATATTTGCACTTCAGAGCCGATTGCCTCATATACGACACAACATGATTGTACCAACAACAAATCAAGGACAACATGAGCAAGTAACCCTGCAGCGTTCCGAAATACCGGGCGACAATCAGCGACCACATGCGGCTTCGCCCGAGGGTTCGACTAACAATCTGTCACCGTCTATTGGACGACCGGAAATTGGCGAAAAGACAAACGGGAATTTGTCACCCCCAATTACCTCTCCAACCGGCTTGCAAACTGCCAACTAATAGTTGTCTGTCAGCGGGTGGATTTTTCACCTGAACGTTTTTTACAACTGCAACCTCGCCAGCGACGACGCACAGAAAATCCGATACGCCGTGTCGCTCCTATGTGGACCGGCTATGGATTGGTGACAGCAGATAATTCAGTCGAAGGAGCCGGATATAACGCCGCGCGTGATCGGGCATTTTCGCATGACCAATCACTGGGCAAGAAGTTATTGCGAAGTGGATGAGTACCGCACATGGTGATCGTGATGCGCGGAAATTCGTCGCCGCTTTGAACACGTCAACGCAAGCAATTAAGCGCGCGACCGCCTTCGCACGTGGCACCAACGCGGATCGGTAGAGGACTACACCAGCAGCTTCAATACTTGATGCGACCAGGTCCGCTACATTCACCCTGACGAGAAATTCAACATATAAATTGGGGGACTTCTACCAGGTCTGCGCAAAGAAATACAGATCAGGGAAATTACGGATTTGATGGAGGCGCAGAGGGTTGCAGAGCGGTTGGATTCGTTCTTCAAGCCAAGGGCGGGTTCCTATGACGGAAGTCGCACTCGGGGACCAATCGAGCTTGCCACTGTACACGATGTTACAACATCAAACTCAGCAATTACAGTGTTCAAGGGTCCTTGTTTCGGGTGTAACAGGCTGGGACACCGCAAGTCAGAATGCCTAGAGGAGTGGAAGAAGCAGAATCAGGGGCAGGGGAATTCCAGCGACCAGGGAAACGCTTAGTATCAGTAGTAAACGGGCCTACTAGTGATGGAACCTGCCCACCTGTGACCGATGACCCTCATCGAGTGGTACCGATCCACGCAATCGGCCAAACTCGGCTAAATAATGAGGGTGGAGCGGCGGATTACCCCATTAATTTAGAGGGTAGGGTTCAAGGGGGGAAAAAAAATCTTCGTGGACGGGGGAGCCAGCCACAACCTGATCAGCCTCGCCACGACAAAAAAAATGAAGTTACCCTTAGATAAGTGTCTACCGGAGGTTGACGCGCGACTAGTCGATGGGAACCCACTAGCAGTAAAAGATTGGGCGGACAAAATTAGGGTATGCTGCGGAGTTGAATTCAATTTTTCGATGGGGATGCAGGCAACTACACTCGACAGTTTTGACATATTGTTGGGACGGGATTGGATGCGACGGTTCAACCCGAAAATTGACTGGACGACCGGCAGGTGTTCTGTCAAAATCAATGGCTGCAGTGTGATGTTACCAGAATGGACGAAGGGGATCACAAGGGGGTGACGCAGGGGAACTTCGTGGCGATCAAACGTGCAGTCGCACGAGGCGCAGAAGTCTTCGCTGTAGTTATTTGTGCAGTCGACGTGGCATCGTAGCCATCCGATTTAGAGAAGCTGGCAGCAGCAGTGCCGGCCGATCTTGCGCATCTGATTCACAAATTTCCGCAGATATTTCTAGACGACCTGCCTGAGGGATTACTACCGGAATGACCCTTCGACCATCGAATAGAATTAGAACCGGGGACATAGCCCACAGAGCAGCAGCAGTTTCGATTAACATAGCTGATGTTAGAGGAATTACGGAAGCAGCTACTGTAGCTTATTTACTGGAGAAAAAAATCATCCGCCTGAGCTCCTTGCCATTTGCCGCCCCCATATTGTTCAACCCGATACCAAATGTGCACTGACTACAAAGCACTGAACAGGGTGACTATCAAGTCGCGTTACCCTATCTCGCGGGCCGACGAACTGATTGACCAACTTCGCAAAGCTCGCTTCTTCTCAAAAATAGATTTACGAGGGGGTTACCATCAGATTCGCGTAGCCGCAGGTGACTATTACAAAACTGCGTTTTGTACTAGGTACGGGAGTTTCGAGTATGTACAATTATGCCCTTAGGTCTGACAAACGTCTCAGCAACGTTTCAGATGACCATGAACTAGATCTTCAGTTCCCTCGTAGATAAGTGTGTTATAGTCTACTTAGATGATATATTGATCTACAGCGAGGTTTGGGAGCAGCACTTAAAGGACCTTGAAGCAGTTTTCACGCTACTACAGGAGCATCGGCTGCTCACGAAGGGGTCTAAGTGCGAGTCCTTTAAAGACCGCTTAGAATTTCTGGGACACGTTATTTCCGCTAGGGGCGTCAAAGTGGACTCGCACAAAATCGAGACGGTGCAAGCCTGGCTACCGCCTAAGAACCTGCAGGAGCTGCAAATTTTTTTAAGGTTTGTCAATTATGTTCGGAGATTTATCCCGAGTATGGTGAGGGTAACTGTACTGTTAGCCGACCTGATGTGGAAAGGGACTGAGTATAGGTGGGGGAGAAAGAGCAAGGTGCCTTCTCTGTGCTCAAAACTTTTATGTGCTCAGCCCCTGTCCTTCGCATCGCCAATCCTCACCGCCCATTCGAAGTAATCACAGGCGCCAGCGACATCGCCATCGGAGCAGTACTGTTACAAGACTTTGGCGAAGGATTGCAACCAATCGCGTACGAGTCACGAAAGCCGCACCCGCCCGAATGAAATCATCTGAAACATGACAAGGAGATGCTCGCGATCGTGCACCCCTTCAAGGTGTGGCGGTGCTACTTGACAGGCGCGGACGTGACAGTACTTACGGACCACCGAAGCCTACAGTACATCCGCGCGCAGCCGCTACTAAACCCTCGACATATCAGGTGGTTGGATTTCATGGAGTCCAACTTCCACTACACAGTCACCTACAAAAAGGGGGCATCGAATATTGCAGACCCCATTTCTCGCCCATCCGCCCATCTCAACTCCATCATTCTCGCCCAAACATCTCTGTTATTAACACACCTATTTTACCAACGGGTAACAGACGGACAGATTCTTTACGTCGGGTGCGTACGAACAGCTCGCAACAGCTAAAGGAGTCTATTACGTAAAGACAGGACTGACCGCATATTGGTACCAGAGTACAGTTTATTACAAAAGCTACTGTTACATGAAGCCCATGAATGTACCGTTTCGGGGCACTTAGTAGTGGAGAAAACACCGCAGCAGTTGACCAGATACTATTCCTGGGCCGATATGGAAGGGGACGTGCAGCGGCATGTGGTTTCGTGCAGAACCTGCCAAACCATGAAATCATCAGAGCAGCCAGCTGGACAGTTGCAGCCGATTCCACCGCCTGAACGCGCGTGGCAGCAGGTGGCGATGGATTTTATTATGGGATTGCCTGTCAAGGACGGCTGTAATGACGCGATATTTGTCATCGTCGATAAGCTGACGAAGATGGCCCACTTCGCCGCCTGCAAAAAAGTATCGCAGCCGAAGAAACGGCCGGCCTTATCATCTCAACCGTGGTTCGCCTCCACTGAATTCCATCCGCTAGCATTTCGGATTGTGACACAAAATTCTGCGATAAGTTTTGGCGCAACCTCTGGGAACAATTTGGCACGCGTCTGCAATTCTCCTCCGCCTACCACCCGAGACCGACGGACACACCGAACGGGCCAATCAGACATTGGAATTTGCCGAAATATTACAGAATGCCGGGGAACGAGCAGCCGAAGCCATTAAGCGCGCGAATGTTATTTCTAAGCGCAACACCGATCTACTCTACACCGACAAGCAGTAACTTACTAGGCTGGAGACTTAGTACTACTTGACATCCAGAACCTTCGACTGCCCATCGTCCCGAAACTTCGCCCTCGCTATTGTGGACCATTCACCATGAGCCACATGATATCATATCTTCCGGTACAGCCCATCTTTTGTTACCGGCCACCTGGAACGTCAGCCCATCATTCCACGTGCGATTACTTCGACCATACATCGCTAGCACCAGCAAAATACCACGTCACCGAGCGAATCTGAATATCCATCGGATCAAGGACCCTCGAGGGCTCACCTGATCGAGTTTCTGATATCTTGGACAGACCAGACGGCCCTGGAAAACAGTTGGGTGCCCCTGGCACAGATCGAGAATTACACGGTGTTACGAGTCTACCTTCAGTCACACAATGTGCGCAACGTCGATGGTCTTAGCTAAGACCATACCTTGGAGGGGGGAGGGTGTAAGGAAATGGTCTTTCCTTATCACGGGTTTTAGTCAGTAAGGCGTACACAGTACACTGCTATAACGGGGTTGCCGCGCAGCTCTGCCACGAAATTGAAATCGCGGTCCCGAATGTGTCCTGTTGAGCCGCATGCATTGTTGCCGGCCTTGCTGTTGCATGCCTA